TATCCCTTACAAGATTACTTAAAAAGAAAGTGATGTAACCAATTGCCATTGAATGGCAAATTTAGACTTTTACTTGGTACTTAGGTCCATTGGGCATTGACGGTTCTTAAGCGTACCAACGAAAGCCGGATCAAAATCAATTGTTCCATTTTTTTCGACCTAGGATTGTTGCTGCCGGACATGTGTGATAGGATCTGCATAAATAGTGGCTTAATTTGAAAAAAAAAAGCTGAAAGTAATTAGGCATCATTATACACCGTATGGAGACAATCTACATAAATGTGTAATATAGTTTTCTTTATGGTAACAGCATTAATAAATAAGCCAAAGTTGTTATGTAATTTAAGAAAAAACATTACAAAGCGGTTCTTACAAACATAATTATGAATAGTTGAGATTGTAAGTGCAGACATAGGTTTTTCAAATGGGATTTCCACAATGCGAAGTGTTTTGAAAGAGCAACACATTTAGAGGAAATTTTAGACCAATGATTTATCAAGGCATGATATGCATGATTGTCAACAAACTTGAAGATATTCCTACCATATGTCAATGACATTAGAGATAACAAAATTTCAGAAATTTCATGTTCCTATTCCATTTCTCTCCTTTTCATTAGTGTTCACTTTTCTACTCTCTTCTTCTATGTTTACAGTTCGGTCATTTTTGATTTCATAGACTAAAATATGCGCCAATTTGAGTGTATGTGTCTTCTTGAAAAGAAATAAACAGAAGAAAAGAAAAATTATTGTTGGTAATAAATTTCAATAAATGTTTCAAGTATTTTTTAACACTTAACAACAAATTTATTCATAATAGGTAGGAAATTCGAAGAGAAATGTTTCATTAATTTATGAAGTATCCATTGATCTGGGCAGCATATTTACTTTGAAATATTAGAAGGTCTATTTTTATTTATGTATGAATATTATATGCATATTTCAAATGCAGATGTCCGTGATCAGAAGGTCGTGTGCTAAAACCCAAACCTAAGTCGATCAAAATAGGTAGAAACTGTTCCTTCGCCAAGCGCTCGGCACTTTGAAGTGAAAGTTGCGGTTCATTTTATGAGACCTTAAAAACCGAGGCCCCGTGTCAAGGCAGGAGTAGGCAAGATAAAGATCTCTCACTACTCAATGACCTTGCGTGCCAAGTAAATATCTAAATATGACCTTCATTGGTATATGGTGGCGTAGAACGGGACGTAAAACAACATACAATCAATCAATCAAATGCAAAGCTATTTATGCTGCAAAAAATGTAATACTGTTCATAAAAAAGGTACTATAAATTTATTTCCGATTCATTTATATGTTTATGAAATAATCCCATTCATTTAGAAAGTCATTCCAATACACATACTCTCCCTTGAATATAAAACAAGTGGTCGCTTTATTGACGGTGACGTTCATAACACAGCTGGGGCGTGCGATCCTGTGTCAAAAAAAACTCGACCTTACACGTAATACGATGGTATAAATGAAGAATCAATGAACATAACTACCGAGAATCCAGCCGTGTTTCTCTCTATAGCTGATATTTAAAATTAGGATAAGACAGGATGTTCTCATAATAACTATTTTCAGTTGTTCTGGAGAAATACTCCGAAAATTTTCTGGCATGCAGAAGAAGCGAATTGTGGCGTAATAAGCATGGCGAGTATATAAAATGAGGCGTTTTCCAATTTAATAATTATCAAATACTTATCTTTTTTTAACATTATGGAATATGATTTTCACAAATGTTAATTTATTTGCTTTGAGATTTCATTTGAAGAGAGATTTTTGAGCAATTATTCAATTATTATCACCCTTGCCTATGTCTTTCACTTTCGCATTTTACTCACAATTTATATCTTTTTTATCTTGTCAAATACATGACTCTGTATTTTAATTATTAACAATGTATTTTACTAGGTAAAGCACAGTTATAGAATATAGCTATGTAAAAAAACTTACTTAATTTCGGTAAAAAATTAATCTAAAAAAGCTACATTAGTACATTTGACGAATGTTTAAGCGGGAATTTCCACCAAGCCTCTTTGAACTAAATTTTAGCCAGGGTTATACTACACGTCACTACACGCTCCTACTGTTTTGTCTGCTAAGTATGTTTGCGCAGCTAGGTTAAGGACGCCCATGAAATATACGCCTAAATATATTCAGGGAAAATGAATACAATTTTAATATTTTTTTAACAGCATTCGATTTCATAAATGTGAATTGTGGTGTTTGCACTTATATATATCGGGTCTCTGCTAAGTTCGGCCAAAGCGACATCGCTTACATCAGCTGTTTGTCACGTGACAGGATTAAAATTAGAACATATATGTACTGTTACAAAGATCGTAAAAGTTCAACGATATACAGGCATCTTTCCGCTATGAAATTTAGTCTGTTTTCTTTGAGACAAATTCCTTAACACGAAAAGTGCTGGGAGCAACTTCCTCATGCTCGGGAATTGTCTAAAATTAAGCCGTCTTTCCATAAACTCCAGACAAAAATGTAATACACATTGAAATACTGTCACATTACGGAATAAATACACAATGCACAACCAGCTCCCAGCACTTTTCAGAATTGTAGGAATAATACCTACACGTGTTTAAAAATTCAGTATTCATAGTGAAGCGGATATCGTTGAATTTTTGATATTTTCGAGGGGCTGAACCTGTCATTCCAGCACGTTACAGTACAAATGTGCTCCCTACGGCTTTATATAAAGTCTACACATTATCAATTTAGTTTGACAATTAAATGTGGATTGATATATTTCAGAATATGTCTTTCTTTTGGTCGGATTACGCGTGTTTCGTATTTATTTTTATTTTTACATGCTACGATAAAAGCTTGATCCACGCCTCAAGTACAGAGAAACTGCGTGTCAAACTAAGAAATGACGTCATCTCAGTAAGTACAGCGAGATCATGCTGGCTTTCATTCTACATATGCTAAGTGCTATTATGGCAAGATAAGTTGCACTTCCATTTATTTATATAATATTTATTAGGAACGATAGTATTTAGTGTGCTTTAAAAAGAACATATAGTATTTATTCATCGAGATTCATTTGTATTGTGTTAATGTGACGTCATAATAGCTTTCCCGAACCTCTGCATAGGCTGACGTATATATGGGAGTCCTTAACCTAGCTGCGTGGTAAAATTTACTTTACTTACTTAAGGTTTTTCTACTTCAAGAAAATCGCATATCTTTTCAAATATACATTTACCGTTACTAAAAAAATATTCTGAGGCTTTGTTTGCTTTCTCTTTTTTTTTTAAATTCAGCCATTTATTTGGGATGCAAAGAAACAATTTCCAAATTATGTGTATGATAGAAAAATATAATTAAAGGTCAAATTCTAGATAATGATTTTACACAGTAACTGTATTTTGAATGCTAAAGGAATAAGTGGTTGGGACTTCCAAATCACTACGACATATCCATTATCTTCGAGATACCGTAGTATATATATATATATATATATATATATATATATATATATATATATATATATATATATATATATATATATATATATATATATATATATATATATATAAATAAGGTCATATATTGAAATAAGGTCAAGAACATATAAAATATTGTTTTCAGAGAGATTGTGTGTATTCTGGGTACATTTTCTACATGTCATATAAGAAATATGTTTAAAGGTAGTTTTCTTCACTTTTCTCTACAAATGATATTTTTTTCCGTATTTACCTTACAAAAATATGGCCTATTACACTTTGTTCTTTCTAATACCCATCTTTTTTTTAATTCGAGAAAGTTTTAGGCACCTTTCTATTGATAGATCTTTATCTTAAGAAGTTTCTAACAATCCACTAAAAAAATAATCACAATAAAGTCATATAATTGATAATGGAAAACGATTTCCCTGAAAAACTGGATCGAATTAAATGAATTTTTTCTACCCAAGGCTTTGTGTGTTAAATACAATACCAAAACATTTTGCTGCTACGATAAAAAAAATCGCGATATAAACCGAATTTCATAATTCTTTTTTTTTCGGAAAATGAAGAAATATCCCTTAACTCATAGTTAAAGGATTTGCAAATACCGAGAAGTAACGACAATGAGGAAAATTTTATTTAAAAACCTCAAAATGACATGTGTTATCTAATCGAATCAATTATATTCATATAATTGTTATTGTTTTCCAATTGTCAAGAAAATCTTCCGCTTTCTAAAACTTCATATTTCATTGATTACCATAGTCTTCCCACCTTTCATTATTTCAAACGGAATATTTACGAATGCTAATAAAAGAAAGGGCTTCGGAAACCGACCCATATTAAAAAAGAACAAAACTGTTACGGGGAATATTTCCTATTATTGTGACAGGGAATCCAATCTTTTACATTACTTAAAACTTTCGGTAACAGAAGAAGGAAAAGTAGCATTTTGTTTACACATAAAAGCATGCAAGTTTCAAATGAAATGCACTGTACCGACAAAAGGACATATTTCAAATTCGTTATTGTTTAGAAGCTTTGATCTATTCTCGAGGTAAAAATCTGAGCTTAAATTATATCGTCATTACGGATTCTTTTTTAACACAGAAGATATACGATTACCAAACTATCAATTGTATTAAAATTATTAATAATTTCACATCAAACAAAATCAATACAGGATAACCGAAACATAAAAATGCACATATATGGATACATAAATGAGCAAGTAAGTTTTATTTATGTCTAAATGTATCAAGAGACATGTTTTGAAAATAAATACTGCATTGAACACTTCACACATTGGCATATGTTTCATTCATTGAAACAGATCGAGAAACTAGTTGATAACATTTTCTGTACTCTTCCTGAAATCGAGAAAAAGATAAATGAGTTAATTCACGCACAGAACGTCATACCAATAGCATATTTTCTTATTTTTGGAAGGTTAAAAATTTAAGCAATTACTTAACAAATTATTGAACAGTATAACGTATGATGGAGTATTTTTTAGTTTCACGTAACAGATTAGCTATTGCTTCAGGTCTCCTGGTATGCAGTTGTCGGACAATAGTAAATATATCCACCTCTGCGTCCTTACGAAGTTGTTGAAGGGCATTATGTAAAACACAGAACACTCCTGCTGCACCGGCACCATTCCTGTGTATAAATATATACCTTGACAATATACGTGTCATTTGTACATAGATGTGCATTAATTATGAACAAAAATGATTTATTACAGGAACACTTCTAAAAAGAAGGTCTTCTAATAATTAAGATAAAGCACAAGAATTTCCCGTTCTCTTTCAATAAATAACTATGTAACTGTGCATGCATTACTTTAGTAAATCACACGTAACCCTTTATGATGAACAACAGCACAAAATGAAAAATTTAAAAAAAACGAATAAGGTTGACAGTTACGACATACGTTAGCCTTAACAACATGCAGTAAAACAAGACGCATAAGTGGTTACAGGTAATTATTATAACGTACACTGTAGAAAACAATGTTTAATTATTGTTTCATGGCTTTTTCCGCTCTAAAAAAATAGAGGAATCAATTTACAGTGCTGATTTTTTATGCACTAGTACTGTCAATATATATGGAGTGAGAATGGTTCATATTCTGCATTAAATATCCAATACATGTTATTCTTTCTGCATTGCAGAGATCTTTTTTGTTAGAAATACCATTACATCGTACATACTTGCTAGTAACAACAGAAATCAACTTAGATTCCTTTTCTTTTTCTAATACCATCTCAGCCAATTTTATTTCTTCGTCATCATTCCTGGAATATACCTGGAAGACGGTTATGCTTTGTGTCTCTCCCTATATGTACGAGATTAGCATGTTCTATGAACTTGTTGACAATGCAGTACAACTTTCCCTACCTCTTTATTATAAGAATAAATTTGATTATCGACTTCATTTAAAAAGACACTTTTCAATATATCTGACAATTTTTAACTAAGTCTATAAAGTTATAGACAGTCATACATCCCGTAAAATAAGCAGACTACTTTGATTGACGCCACCAATGTTCGTTCCAGTCTTTCTAGCTGTTATTAGGTATGGTGAGCATGAACGATTTTCACCTCTTTCGGGCAGCCAATCAGTATCCTTATTTAGAATTATAAAGAAAAAGTTCTGTTAATTAAAAAAAAAATAAATAAAAATAATCCAAGTAAACAAAAATCACTTTCCCGGCTTTATTGTCGGTAAAGGTAAGAAAATTTATTAAATTAAATAAGAAAATAAATATTAATAAACAAATCAATACATAAACAAAGTCAAAAAAATTTTCATCAGTTTCATTATGGTGATAAATTTGATTTACTGTATCTCTTCATTGTCTTTCAGGACTACGATTGCCCCAACCTGATGGTCCACGCAAATCTCCACAGATCAACCTCCGTATCAGGGAGGGGTTCTGTGTCATAATCAGCCCAGCCGGTGCAGTTTACGACTAAAATAAAAAAAAAACAACAATTATTTGGGTGGAATCTCTCTCTCTCTCTCTCTCTCTTGGTTTCTTATAATTCATCTTCATAAAAAGGAACTTGAATGTTCTTTATTGTCAAAAGTGCACATGTATCTGTATCTGTACATACCGGAACAATCACTGCATTTATATAGCCATTTCTTCCCTCCACAAAAGATGCTAGATATGGTCGATATTCTGACTCTGAAAGAAAACAGTTTTTAAATTCTGTGGGTGAGAAGGATTAAATGAATAGCATAGAATTTGAAAAATAAAATTACATGATGTGTTAAGAAAATTGATTCTTAAATGAAAAATTCAAAGGATCGCAGCATACCTGGTAAAATATCCATATCAACATTTTTTGACCTGTTCTCAGAATTCATTGCTTCCTCTTTATATTCGTCCTCATACACTGGAATTATGGCTTCCAGGAACTAAAACAGTAATATTTAAAAATATGAACAGTAAAACACGCGTATAAAGAAGTGCCAGGAATGGACGATTTTGCTTCATTATAAGCATAATTCGTTAATTCTTAAAGACACAGGGAATGAAAATCACTTCGCTGTCTGTATGTTCGCCATAAGTGTTTTTAATGTATTTTAACTTTTTTTCTTACTCTAATTGAAAGTGTAAAGCAATTAAGATCACATGCACGTATACATGTAATTCTAATAATTTATGAATGTTAATCTACAGATAGATAACATTTCAATCCAGTAGAATCACTTTATAGTCCTTGTATAATTGTTGTTGATTTAATGGTGCCGGGTCATTGAGGAGGAAGCTGGCTTTCGTGACAAGATCATGTTCCGATATGATTGTCTCTCTCTCCTGGAATCCACACAGTAGTGCTTTATGTAGAAATACATACTGCTCCTTGGGATATGAATTGAAATGTATCATATTATTAAATAGTGTCTGTATTTCCATAAATGTATTTATTACAATGTTCTTTGTGAATATGCTTTGGTTTAAAAATATTAATAGACTAAACAAATATAGGTGTCATGATACTTCAAATTCTACTATATCCAATTTAATGATTTTTATCCTTACTAATGTCTGGACCATAGACATACGGTCCTCCCTCATTTGTTTGACAAACTCAAAAACGTTGATCCTCCCCCTTTCTCGTCCTTGTCTCAGTAACGAATCCAGACCAATAAAGGTACCTGTCCTGCCTACTCCAGCGCTAAAATTAAAGAAGATTAAAATAATTGTCCTTGTATAAGACCTCAATGGTTTCAACTACAAGTGTTATCAGAATAATCCTGCAACTGTATTTATTATCCTTGCACCAAGTTACCAGGATTATCATACAACTGTATTGATTACCAGTATTATCTGAAACTGTACAAATTAAACTGGTACCAGAGAAAATGACATCAATTATCCATTTCGGTAGTATTATTGCGCCGCATAGGTTTACAATTGTTACCTTGGGATGAAAATTTTCAATGCTACCTTCAACTACAGGCAGTATTTATTATATAATACTGGCACCTGATCCCACCTCTGATGTCTGGAGGTCCGTGTTTGCTCTGCTCCTATTTTGTATTGTTTAATGGACTTTTGAGCTTGAATACTGTTCGTTATCTCCATATATTTCACTGAATATTTTATAAAAATACTAATAATCAATATAATTATTTTTTTTTTGGAACATCACCCAACAATAAGCAATGTTGACTGTTGCTAAGTTTTATCACGCTGTAGGGCGTGGTTTCATCATTTAGGACCTAACATTTTTTTTAATCAATTTTTTTCTCAAATTCAAGAAATTAATATGTAATATGATATTTGCATTCATTACCCTCTTGCCTGCACCACGAAATAAAGCAAGTATTAGCTGTCGTCATGTATGTTCATCCAGTGAAAAAATGGTAATACATTTTAATATTGTTACAATACATATACTTTTTCACATGTATGTTGCGATAGATTTTGCTAATACTTGAAGCTTTATATTTTGTGTTTTGTGGGCGATAAAAAGGGATTTGAAAAAATAAAAAAAAAATTTGCATAATGTTTTAACCTGCAATGAACCAGTAAAGGAGAACCGGGTTCATTTCTTTTGTTCACAACTCTGTGAAACTGAACAAGTCCTATCTCTTCTGGAGTACCGTGGTCTGGCCAAGCTGTGTAATGGAACTGGGTGATTATCCTTATGTCATTTGACTGCATCGAAAAAGAGCGATCCATATGATATACACGTATGCCTATTTCTACATTCGAATGAACAAAATGAAAATTCATACAGAAGGAAAAAAGTTATTTAAAAATAATAATACACATACAATCGCACACAGCTGTATAAAGTTTATGAATAATCAGCTTAGCATTTACTTCTTTCTTTAACTATCATTACATAAATGATTGTGTAGGATTGTTTCCAAAAGCCATTGGCTGAGTAGCATTTATTTTATCTTTTGAATGAATTTTTATAGACAGGAGAAAAAATAAAAGCTTACGTCCTTCCTTTGAAATGAGAACATTCTTACTGTATGAAAAGCATATTCTGTTTCTTCTAAAAGACTTAGCGAACATAGTCCAATATTTTTAGGTTTTTCTTTATCAAGCCAGTATTTAGCGCACTTATTCTAGGAAAAACAAATTAAAATGTTAATCCTTCTGCAATCAAAACTTCCAATTCAACTTAAAAAAATATATTGAAATGAGACAACTTATCATACCTTTCCATTTTCAACCAAATTTGTCAACATAATAATGTATTCTATGTTTTCTTGCCATATCATTTTTAGAAAGTCTGCCAAAGTATTTTTTCGTGGACCTGCATTCAAAATATGATTAAGATATTAATTTTTCGCATAATCTGTATATTTATTGATATTTAAATCATATCTATGCTTAAGGTCAAGATCTAGTAAATGACTTTAGACCGTCTTTTCGGTGCTAGATCCATTATGACGTCATAATCAATTTAAACTTTCCCTTTCCCGTACTTTACAGCTCCAATAGAATTATGTAGAAAATAAAGTATTTTCATGGCATTCAATTTGAAATCATGTGAAAAGTAATCCCGATACCTATATTCAATTTTACATTACTTTAAAGAAGAGGCTAAGAACACACAAATTACCGTTTTCTGAGAAACTGTAGGCAATCTGAATACATTTCCTTCATCTGATATGGAAAAAACTCCCATATTCGTGACTGGCTTTCTTAATTTTTCATTGAAAATGACAGTTTACAAGATGGTTTTACGTCTTGTTTTCTTGCAAATTATGCCCCGATACACCTTATTTGACCGAGCTTTAGTTATAAAGCATCATAAAAGGAATTTATTTCTCAAGTTTGAGAAATCTGTAGGCTCTTTTCATTTACTAGATCTTGACCTTAAATTCATTATTTTGCGTCAAATTAAAAAAAATACTCCAAGACTTACTAGATAAAAGAAAATGTTTCAAAATGTCTTTTACATTTATATTAATGCAAACACTGAAAGATTGGTATATTGAGTAACGAATTAAAAAGAAATGGTTTTTTACCTTGAGCGGCAATGTATTGTCTTTCACTTTTATAATCCTGAAATAATGATGTTTAAGTATAGTTTATAAGGCATGAAACTAATTTAATATTTATATTTCCCTACTTTTGTTACAAGAGACACTTAGTAAATACTGAAGCATAGCAGTTGCTTTTAGAGGATAATATATATTCATCGATTAGACGATTAATAAAATTTTGGTAAATGCATTTTGAAAATAGATAAATAATATTATAATGTCAATTCTTTAATCTCCATATGCACCTACCAGGGAAAAACTTTTTAAGCGCTCCAGTTTATCAGGAAAACGACAAAAGATATTATACTCTTATTTATTTGAATGATGTATATTAAGAAGCACAGCGAATGCATTACTTTTAGATAATACCTTTATATAATTTGCGTTGATGTAATCGTCATCATGTACGTCCCATTTTTCTTCAAGAACAACCCTTGAATGTTCATCTATGACAGTCAGGACGGGAAATTAACCAAGAAATATTAATATTTAATAAAATAAGAGTACGCTTATTTATTGTTTCATTAATTCTTGGCACTCTTGTAAAATTTCAATTTAAATATGAATTCATCAAAGGCATCAACCTTTTTCATTCGTGCAGTTTCCTCCAGACATTGATATGACCATATGGAAGAAATGAAATATTAGGCTAAAAATTTTTAGTATTAGGCTAAAAATAGATATCTTTTCAACGATACAAGAAAGTCCACTGACATATACTGTGAATTAGTTGACATGATTTCTACTGAAAAACTTCTTTGCCCTCGCAATTTTCTTTCATTGATAAGTGTATCTCTTGCAATTTCATAACCCACCCCTATACAAAGTATGCAAGCCATTCTTACATGGAAATGTCGTTTTAAATCGATTCTTGGTGAGATTTTCTTTCTTCTGTGCTGTAGGGCATTTGTTTACGTCTGCAGCAGGTAGTCTCTGATAGTAATGTATATAAGTAATAGGTGAATGAGATAAATATTAATCACTTTATAAGCTTTTAGGGGATTTATCTCATTTATATAGTCAACTCAACATTTTGAGCATATTTTGCTTATTCTTATAAAAAGCAAGTTAGAATCCACATTCAATTTAAGCTACAAATGTGCAAAATTTAAATCGATACCAGTTTAAAGACAATCATATTCTTTGTCTACAATTTTTTTTATTAGGATCACTGCATGCCACATTAGGGTAAGTATTCAATGTACTTTTATATAGAACACTTTAAAAATGGATCACCTTTTTCATTCAATTATTGAAAAAAATAAGCAATTTCTTACTTCGAAACTTTTCTTGAAATGATACCCTGTTTGCTCCACTTATTAAAACATATGTTGAATATGGGGGCCTGTATTGCATATGCACTTTTTTTTTTCGAATATGAACTACAAGTTTCAAAAGACACGGATATTTTAAAAGACAAGAGATAAAAGTACATGTTTCCCATAAATAGTGTCATCACAATCAAAACTAGGGGTTTAATACCATATATTCCAATTGAAAAATATGATTCTTTTCACTGCTTTTTATAGCAATGATGTTGTGTAGCTCCTGGATATGTATAACTGTGCTGATTTGGCTCGTATTGTAGTATTCACTGCTGGAAACAGCATTCTTCAATCTTATTTCAGGTGATGCCTGGGACAGATGACCTTTAAAAATCATATATATCCTGATATAAAGTTTCATCTAAGACAATTGGTACTTCTGAGAAACAAGGGAAGAATAATGATTTATTAAAAAAATCAAAGTAATTTTTTTTTCCTAGAAATGAATCAAGAAATACTTTGAATTCATGTTATACTCAAAATGTACAACTAAAGAGTCACATATTTGGGAAAATTTGTTGTTGTGGCTACTGATTATTACTTTGCTAAGCATCCAAACTTCGTTATCCGAAATTTCAAAGTACCATTTTTTTCCAAATCTGAGGATTTGAGATATTGAAGTTATAATACATAAAACTTGATTCGACTTCCAATTCATTTATTCTATTCGAGATATCCAAGATGAACAGATTTTTTAAAAAAATATTTTTACCACCGATATTCATGTATCCCTTGTCTTCAGAATTACGTTTTGGGTCATACTCTACATGTGTGTATAGGTTCCCTGTGTCCCCTCGATCTTTTTGCGCTAACTGTCGCCTGTAAAATTTTAAGCAAATTTATTCGAAGAATTTAAACTATCTAAAATGTAATTATCATAGGATGAAACTATGTTATTCAGTAAAATGAAAGTCGACGGAAAGGTGACTGAATATCAGAGCTCTCCCATTCAGCGACCTTTCCAGATCCTTCAATGATCATTTAGTGGATTGGATGGATGTGTGTTCGTCTTGTGTATCATATGTATTTTTTGTGAAAGGGATTTAAATGTTTGCGATAAAATTATTAGTGAATAAAGAAGAAAGGAATTGATAACTGCTAATCTCCATATTTTTATTAATAAACGCATATATGCTTTCAATGATCTATATTTCTATATGAAAATATGTAATGAAATAATAATGAAAACTTACATCGTGTTCATCACAGAACTCAAAGAATAAATTAAAAAACAAATAAATGGAAACTATAAATTGTTAGGTTACAACTGAAAAAAAAAAAATCAAACTACAGTGGCGCCGCGTTTATCCGGACGCCATTTATCCGGACGCTTCACCATCCGGACGATATTTATTGGGAACCGATTTTTTCCACGTTATTTTGTCTCATTAATCCGGAAATTCGTGTTCCGTATCCGGACGGTCGATTTCTACTACAAAACGTTATAGTTCATTGAAAAATGACTCGTTTATCCGGACGGTAATTTTTCAAGAAACGACTTTTTCACACTTATCTTGCGGTAGTGTTAATTGTTGTAAAAACATTGGCCATGCAGTTTGAAGGCGGTTACCCGTGACCTACAAACAATAGCGTCTATAATTAGCGTATGTTTACCATGTGTTTTAACTTTACCCCAATTAAATCACACGTCTATTATGAAGCTCGAAGAATTTAGCTTACACTATGCATTAATTAAATAATAATCCGTTCAAAATCATATTGCTAGCCGTATATACATCGGTGAATTCATGAGAATTTGGGAGAGTTTTAAATAAAATGAACAATGATTAACTAGCGATTTCTCATGCTCTTTATCATGTTTATCATGTTGATTACGTTAACTTAGTTTAAAATACGATTTTCCATTTCTTAAAACGAAAACGTATTTGAAACGCTTTTTTCCACAAGACAGTTTAGAAGGGTACATAATTGAAGAAATATCTTTCTATTTAATGTACTACCGTCTCGCTTTAAACCTACACTACTTTAGGAAAAAAAAATATATGAAACTGGCGATTACGTTTTTCGTGATATTTTAATGATCGAAATTCAAACTTAGAGTCTAGAAAAAAAATATTGATAATCATAAGATGACTTGTGTTTACGTTGAATGTTTTAGTACTTCCACTGATTGCTCGTGATTGAATTAGTTTGCAGTGTTCAGTTAATTTTATAGTAACACTGTGCAATGAATATACGGAGAATATACGCGGTTAATTTAAATTTGAACATTTGCCAATGATGATGCTGAACAGTTCTGTCACATCATATGAGCTTCAATAATTAAAATATATGGCGAAATAAAACAACAGTAGATCACAATTTACTTAGCCCATGAAGTCACATGCCAAAGAGAAGGCGAATAGAAAAAGGTCTCAGCATAAAAATTGCTTATCAATTTTTTTTTGTGTCTTATTGTGTAAATTACATTTTAATATATATTTTCTTTAATTAATTATTTCTTTTTTAAAAAAGTATAAAATAAAAACAATAAGCCAAAATAATAATTTAAAAGTTTCTTTTCTTCTTCCACATTTGATACAAGAATGTGCATATATACATGCTTGGAGAGTGTTTTTTGAGAAGTGATTCAATTATCCGGACGATTCATTTATCCGGACGATTTCGTTAGGGACAGAGGCGTCCGGATAAATGAGGCGCCACTGTACAGTGTTACTAATTATATTTGATATTTTGCTTTTCTATATACTATAGGAAGGATTAAATGAAAATCAACAAGACTTAATTACTGTGGATTTCTATTTTGCATTTTCTACTAAGAATGTTATACTTTCTGGTTTTTAATTCCTTGTTTTAAATCCACAAAATTTCGCTAAAAGAAAGATACCTTAAAATCACAATAACAATGATGACTACAACTGCTAACACTGTAAAGGCAGTCATGAGTCCACCGACTATTCCTCCTGTATTTGGATCCGATGATATGAGAAAGGCTATGAATGAAATTTAATCATAAAGCTGTTAATCACTTGTTTGATACATGAAGTTACATAAATTCTTCACAATTCATAATCACATAAGTGATGTGTGATATAAGCAATGGAGAGAAGATTTATCATTAAAAAAGTAATTTGTCGCAAATTTTTACATAGAGAAGTGTCAAGTGTTAAGTAGGATGTTATACATATTCGTACAAATTAGGTGCGCGTTTTAATTGGAAATGAAATAATGTCAGGATTCAAACTAGTATGTTTCATTTTACACAATGCTCTAAACAATGAAAACCCCTAATACCTGAAGTGTAACCTTTAAAACAAATTATAAATTCACAATCGAACGGTAGAGAATATGTAAGTAAATACAATCCTAACAACAACTTATTAAACAATTTGTTTGCAAGGCAATCGACAAGAATATCAAGTGAAACTTAAATGATTTATCATTGTTAAAGAAAAAAAGTATTTACTCTGGTTTTAATGCACTGTTTTATAGGCTGAAAAAAGGTCAATAGCGTATAACTTGTGAAGCCTACGTCACAATATGTTCGACGTCAAAAACATATCAATCCATTAGACGTCAAATTGAAATTTTGAACAATTTGAATTTTTTAATGAAAATTATATCCTTATTTACACTACATGATAGAAAATAGAATTTTATTGAATACGTTTTAAAGCTACCCAAGTAATAATTGTAGAATCTGTACTGGAACAGTTAACGATTTTTTTCAAACACTTCTTCACGTTTTATGTTGATTGTCTCAACCCATTTAACACACTATAACTTGGGTAAAAAAATTAAATGTCATTGTTATTTCCCAAGCATTCTATTTTTTGAAAGTAAATCAGCTTTAAATTTGTACGAAAATATATTGCATCAAACTGTAATTAGCAGTTATATCGAAAATGTATACGAATTGTTGCATTAGTTCACTTTGTGTTACCTTCTGTACAAATAAAGAAAAAGAATAGTAATCATGCTTAGAAGTCCATTAAAGCAATACGAATAGGGAGCAGAGCAAACATGGACCTCAAAAAAAAAAAAAAAAAAAAAAAAAAAAAAATCAGGGATGAGATCAAGTACCATGGAGGAGTAAGCATCCCTTGCCGACCTGTCACACCCACCGTGTGCTCCTTGTCATGATCGGACAACCGGAAAATTCCGAAGACAATTCAATGTAAAAATAATGACCTATGTGTATGAAAATGTCTGTCAACATTCAACTTAACCAAAAATTTTATTTGCTAATGTTACCCATCGGTAGAAATTCATACAAACAGATCTTGGGTTTTTGTAAATTATATTATGGATTAAACCTACAACATTCATACAACATACTTTACATTTATACTTTAAACGCAGTTCAATTACTTAAAATATCCGTTAATATAACAATTTCAACTTAACGTATAAATAAATTGCTTAAATCAAACGATAACTGAAAACAATGATATTATTAATATAATGATAAATGGATAAAAAGCTTACCAGCCTATATCACCCTATGTCAGTATTATACAATAGATGCGTCTACCTTGACGGCGTGCATGGATGGGTATGACAGGTAATTTAAAAAACAGGTTTTGGTTAGTAAAGGAACACAACTCATTCTCTCATTCTCTCATACACCCTCTTCTCTCTATTACCCTAAATCACGCGACGAACAAACAATGAAGTGAACAACGACAGGTAGGTGGATCCAAGATCCAACACCTGGTTACACTAACAAGGTCATTGCATCGACCATGGAACTTGAGAAATGTTGACTTTAAACGAGAATGTTGATTTCTGTTTATCATCAACTTATTTGTCAATAGCTTGCGTCGTTTTAGAAATTGTTAAAATATATTCAGCTAGACTACTCCATACAATTTATGATGATGATAAGAAGCTAAGTCAGGATACATACCATCACACCTGGCACCTGTCCATCCCTCTTCACAGCCACTGACACAGTGTCCACTGTCTTTGTCACATGAATATTTTAAACAGTTGTTACATTGATCCTCGCACTTTGTACCAAAATATCCATCCTCACAAACTACAATATGTCAAAAATACTTTCTTTTTTTTAAATTACTCATTTTGTTTGTTAATTTGTGAATGGATGGTTGTAACCAATACAGAAAACAAGAGGCACATGGACCACATCGCTCACCCGAACCCACTGGCTAAGAAGAAGCAGAAATCAGTTCAGTATATTGAAAAGTTTTAAGGGGAGACTTAAATTTACAATACATTTAGGATGTTTTTATTTCAATATAAATAATCATGGCTTTGCTGTTCTTAAAAAGAAGAATTTTAAAGATTTTTTTCGCTATGTATTCCTTTGTAAAACTCTGATTGGTCTTTGTGGCACCACCCTACCCACTGTAACAGGGTTCGACACTAACGTTAGTCCGTTAGTCTCAGACTAACACATTTTCATTCGGACTAATAAAATCTGTGGCTAATTAGTCCGAGCGGACCAATAAAAATTTCTGGAAAACAATATGAATAAATTACCGATGTCCGATTCTCGACAACTTTTACTGGAAAACCTCCGTGTATTTTTAGATTTCTAACTTTTGGCGGGTAGTTATGCAATTCTGAGTCATGATCGATATGAAGTAAATGTTTTTAGCGATCATGATTTAGTATGACACTTTAAAGAAAGATGTTGGACGTTTTGGATGTAATGTAAAGACCAAAAAAAAAAAAAAAAAAAAAAAAAACGAGATCGGGAATACGATCGTCCTTGCTGATTGCGAGATTTCAACGAATCTGTGGAATAATGTATTTCACGTAAATGCTTTGTTTATTTAAAAAAAAAGTATAAAACGTCTATTAATTGTCAATTTAAATTAATGTTTAAAAACACTGATGTTTCTTTTTCTTTTCTTTTTTTTTTTGACGGACTCATAAAATCGCGCGCGGACTAGTAAAAGTAAAGAAGCACTAGTCCGGCCGGACTAAAGCCTAAAAATGTTAGTGTCGAACCCTGCTGTAAATTTAAACAAATTTGAATCTACACTACCTGTGGATGCTCCTGTAATAATATGACTAATCTGGATTTGCTAATCTTGAGCAGCAGATTTTTTCAAGATGATTCCTATATATTCTTATCCAAAACTTTGACCCTCTGTTGTGCCCCAACCCCTTGGGCGGGGGGGGGGGGGGTCATGATTTGAACAGTACCTAGTGCTTATGGAATATATATATATATATATATATAACTAATATGGCTTAGTTGTGCTTGAGAAGAAGATTTCAAAGATATCTCCTATTTAACGTGTACGATCAGGTTCTTACAAGGGATATATAGGTTTTCCTTTTACTCTGCCTGAGTTAATGAATGGACTGATTATTAAGGCAGCTATGTCTGAAGGTATATCACATAGTACTTAAATTTTCTCTCTCATCTAGAGATGGGGACTGGGTAAGATACTACTTCCATTTATAGATAAGAACCAGTTGTCTCAATCTTCTTCAGATTTACTACACCATAAACTTACGGACTTAACAAAGATTGCATTGAAGTCTTTGGAGCAATTTTCTAAAAATAAAAATTCAAATAAAAAGAATATCAATAAATACTGTAGTGAAAAAAAATGTACTAAAACACATAAGAAATACAATGACCATTGCAAATGATTTTTTTACCAGGTAAGATTTTTAAAATGGATTTTTTTTATTAATTGAAACAGATGGAGATAACTCATACCGAAATTCAAGGTCATAAGATAGGAAACATCCCATCCTTACATGCTAATAGTAATAAATGGGAATTTTGTCTAAATATACTGAGTATTCAACACCTACATACCTATGTATTCAATTTCATTGAATCTTTTGCTTTTAGGATGGAATACCTTTACACCTTTGTTGCTGATTCATCATCCAACTCCTTCAGCTACATTCTGAATACCTGACTTTCCAAAGCTTTGCCTTATATACCATTAGTTTAATCCATTCCAAGAGTTGTCAGGTCATTCCACTAATTAAAGTCTTCAATACGTTTTACTCCAATGCCCCTTAACCATTACACCTATATCATATGTAAACCTTGACCAACTATTGTGGCCCTGCCCTACCCCCAGGGGTCATGATTTGAACAAACTTGAATCTACACTACCTGAGGATACTTCTGTTTTAATATGTCTAATAATGGCTAAGCTGTTCTTGAGAAGAATATTTTTGAAGATATATATTTCTATGATAAACTCCCGTTGTGGCCCTGCCCTACCCCCAAGGGTCATAATTGGAACATTAATCTACACTACCTGAGGAAACTTCTGTATTAGTATGTCTAATAATAGCTAAGCTGTTCTTGAGATGATGATTTCAAAAGACGTTTCTTATATATTCCAATGTTAAACTTTGACCCCCCCCCCCTCATGTTGTAGCCCTGCCCCACCCCTGGGGTCATGGTTGAAACAAACTTGAATCTACATTAACTGAGAATACGTCTGTGATAATATGACTAATCATGGCTCTGCTGTTCTTGAGAAAAAGATTTTTAAAGATATTTTCCATATATTCACATGGTAAACTTTGACTCCACTGTTGTGGCCCTGCCGCACCCCCAGGGGTAATGTTTGGAAAAAACTTGAATCTTCACTACCTGATAATACTTCTGTAATAATGTGACTAATCATGGCTTTGCTGTTCTAGAGAAGATTTTTAAAGATATTTCTTATGTATTCCCATGGCAGACTTTGACTAAACTCTTGTGGCCCCGCCGTACTCCCGGAGATTATGATATGAACAAATTTGAATCTAGATTATATAATGAATATTTCACATAAGTTTAATCTTTTCTTCCCTAGTGGTTCTTGAGAAGAAGATTTTTAAAGATGTCACCAAATTTTCACAAATTCTTAATTATCTCCCCATGAAAGAAGGCGCAGCACTTCCTGTGAACAAACTTGAATCCCCTTCACCCAAAAATGCTTTGTGGCAAATTTGGTTGAAATTGGCCTGGTGGTTCTTGAGAAAAGTCGAAAATGTGAACAGTTTACAGACGACAGATGGAGGCCTGACACTCTTTGATCAAAAAAGCTCACTTGAGCCTTCGGCTCAGTTGAGCTAAAAATAAATTATCCGATTCAACGTACGTATTTACGTAGTACGAGGAACGAGACTTTTTATGGTTTATATTTGTCAGCATAGATAATAGTTATAAGTAAATTTATGTACGTACTATATACAGCAATATATACACTATATATGCAAGCAAAACCCTGCAAAATTATTTTTAAAATGTCTAGAAATAAGGTTTTAAAAAGGTGATTTTTATTCAAATGTCAATGTTTAGAATAATCAAAAAGGGTGTCAAATTTTGAATCGTATCGATCTTCATGTATTTTTACATGCATATTTCATATACTGACCATAAGGCTTGTTGATTTTACGAGGATTTAGCTAAACAAACTCTTTGCCTACTAGAGCAAAACTTAGAAACATCTTTTGAAAAAAAAATGAAATAACCACTATGCATTAACTTTGTATTTTGGCAAGGCCAAATTTTGTTCGTTCATGCATTTCAAGTCACTATACAAGATACAAGTCTTATTTCAATGATAAAGCTTGAAAAAAAAACAATGCATCACATTTTATTCTTGTATGGATATGTGAAGATTATGGCTTTGTTTTTATACAAAAGTAAGATTTTTTGGATAAATGATTACTTTGGCATTGATAAGGTTGTCGAAATCTTCACTTTTTTATGACTAGGAAAGAATCCCCCCCCCCCCAGTGCGAAGCGCAAACGCACCAACACAAGGCTCCCGTGACCGGTTTGAACACATTGATACAGAGAACAGAGGATTCGCCAGTCTTGACAAAAAATTCAAATCGGTTAAGTTTTATCTGAGATGTAGGTTATAAATAGAGATAGCAGATTTCAAATAAAACTGATTATTTTACTTTGTAATCAGGGACTAGAAGTTTTAAAAATACTTAATTGACACAGAAAACTAATAATAGAAACTTGTAGATAAAAGGAAATTTTTTTAGTGCATTATATTCCTCAATTTTTTGCAAATTGCTTAATTTTTAAATTGACTTATCTTTTCAGTTTTTAAAATACCCAACACCATATTTATATGGAATTCAAGATTCCAACATTCATATATCTCTATATCTTTTCAAATCAAAGTGTCACTTTGCATGGTACGATTATTTTAACCTTTTATATTTTGTAGGAAGTGAAATGCTATTTTTTCTAAGTTATATCTCTTTTGATCTCTTTTTTGAAATACCGGCATATTCTAAGAA